CCCCAAAACCCCAAAACCCCAAAACCCCATTTAGTTAAATATTCAGAATAGATAGATTATTGAGAAAATAACTATTTATGTCCTAATTTATAAAATTTTGATCAATTACAAGTAATCAGAAATGCTTTCTTAACTAAAGGATATTATCTTCATAGTTATCATAGTCATCATCGTTGGAATCAACTTCATCCTCAATAGTTTGAGCATTATTTCTTTTAAAGAATTTAGATTTATTTGATATTTAGTGACTACTTTATTCTAAACTTTCATTCAAGCCAGAATTACTTAAGACGAAATTATTTCTTTGTTTGTTTGCCATTAATGCTGGAGAAAGGAAATTTAAATTCTATACACTTTGTCTTCTCATATTAAGGTTTTAAATTGCTATAAATTTTTGAGCCATTCCAAGGTCTTAGGATGAAAAATTTTTCTTAGTAGGACCAAGATGAGGTCTAGAGATCTTTTAATTTATTATTGGTGAAATTGAATCAACATTTTGTATTGATATTCTGAAATTTGCGTTAGTGATTGAGGCATTGTGAGAACCGTAACTATCATTTGATTGGTTTTTATTAAGGTTAGGTCTAGTCATACTATTATTACTTTGCTCAATCAGTTATCTGCTTGTATTAAAACCCACCATATCTTTATCATCTTCATTCCCATTATCAGTAGCAATATTAGGACCTAAGTCTTCTTCTTAAATAACTGTCAGATTAGATCGTTCTATTTTTAGCTCTGGTTTCATCTAAATTGAAGTCTACCTTTATCTCCTCTTTTTTGCAAATAGCTTAATGGATTTAATCAAATTATTTACAGTGCTTAAAGTTATAATTACCAAGTTCGCTAAAATGTTGAAAATGAACAATCCAAGATAAGTCTTGCTAAATGCATATTTTAAATCAACATCTTCAAGATTATCTGTAAAAGCAAACATACAAATGCTCAATAATAATGATGACATTTCATTGAAAATTTCCATATTGAGGTTATTATAAATGAATGAACATTTTTTATTTTTGAAGTTTGCTAAAATAGGTTTAAAGTTCAAAATGAACATAAGATAGAACAAATTCAAGTAAGTAAATGATATTATTTAAAGAGCAAGATATTCCTTTAAAGAAAATACAATAGCTATGAAAATCATTCTTCTAACAATGAATAAGGAGTGATAAAAGAAGCAGCCTTTGGATTACTCTCTTAAAATCTCAGTAATTTCTCCAAATTTCCTTGTAATTTTAATAGACATCAAGCTATTTTTGTTTATGTATAAATAAATAGGAA